AGCCCCCCTTCTTCGGCAACACAGAAAGGAGAATTCTACTTCTTGAGAGTTATAATCCCTAAGCGCGGCTGAAGGCCGCATACACAATAAGGGGTCTAAAAGCTTAACAACTTTTTAAATACCCTTAATACCCTTTTTTTAAATTATTATTTTTTTAATTTTTAATATTGTTTTATACTTCATTTTTCCTTAAACTACTTTTCTTGCGCTTTTTATTCAAAATTTCTCATGAGATGTTTCTTCTCTTTTCTTTTTTGTTGGAAAACTTTGCTTTTCCCTTGCAAAAAATCTAAAATTGCCCTATTTTCAAACAGCTCCCATGCGGTCTGTGGGAGGGTGAGGGGGGGAAGGGGTGACTTTTCATAAAGCGGCGTCCCTCCTCTTTAGTTTAGGGGGTTTGGGTGGCCACGCCCCTCCCCCTCTGCCCCCACCCCAAAATCGTTGTACAAATAGCTAAACATTTCCCTTTTTATATACAAATTGAATACACTGATTTTTATTAATTCTTTCTTTAAATTCACCGACTTCTCTGTTTTGCACCACAGCTAGCAATAGGTTCATTCCTTATCTTTTTGGACTAAAATCTGAAAAGTGTCAAAATGCCAGAGCGTAAGCAAAATGCGCTCACTAAAAAGAGCGTAACAGGAAAAGTAAAGGAACGCAAAAAACCAAATTTTTAGTCCAAAGAATGGCAACAACAAAACTAACGTCAAATAAGAACAGAAATGTATGTACAGAACACATTCATACAAGCACAAGCACAATAAACACTTGCTATATCAACTATTTTTTGCCTCCTTCCAGTTTCAATTCATTTCTTTTACTTTTTAGATTATTCTCACTTTTTGCGTATTCTTTAATTTCCGTTAATTTAAATTCAGTTGAGTTTGACACTTTTCAGGATTTTGCCAGAAAAAATTCGTCTGACTAAATCTGACTACTTCGGACTGATGAGAGTCGCTCTCACTGACTTTTGCTCTCTCATTTTTGCTGTCATTTCCGAGTTAAGGAACGCTTTTTGGACTAAATCTGACTACTTCGGACTTTTTCTGACTATTTCTGGGAGATAAGGAACGCTCCTAATAAGTAAAGTTTTCTTTGATGTATATGTATGTACATATTTATGCGAGCGTAGTGTCGATAGTTTCTGTTCGATACGGTCAGCCGTTTTTTGCAGGGGTTTCAGCATAATTCAACAACTACAGGTTGTAGCAATCGTACAAAAACAACATTTACCGTTGGTCTGAACTCCTTGTGTCATCAACATCTTCTTTATCTATTCATATTCGTATGTATATTTATACCCTGCATACCAGGATTTCATAGAATTCTGAAAGGTTTCACAATTTATTTTTTATAATTTCCTTTAAGAAATCGTACAGAAATTTCTTTACTAGTTCTTGTCAACCGCTTCATATGGTTTTCTTTAAAGATTTCTAAAAGAATCGTAACAAATTTCCGACACTTAGATTTCGGGAGCATTTATTGGCAGGGTATATATAGACGTATATGTGTATGTATACGCGGAGATATAAATAAAGCAAAACAGACTATAATTTGACACAAGCGTGCTCATAAGAAGAAGCATAGCTTCCATCGCTATCACCTGTAATTGATGCGCCTTGGAGTTTCAGAAAAAAA